GTAAGTGTAAACAGCTGGTTATATGAATATCACCAACTCTTCAACATATGTCTGTGCGTCAAACATTTGTGCATATAATTAGCATCGTTTCATGACATGTCCCTCAATAAAAAAATGCAACACGGTCACCTTCCTTGTGCATGCTTCGCATAACGTCGATTCCCAGGTACGTGGGATCTGCCGAATTTTCTTTCTATCTATCTATCTATCTATCTATCTATCTATCTATCTATCTATCTATCTATCTATCTATCTATCTATCTATCTATCTATCTATCTATCTATCTATTTATCTATCTATCTATCCGCTTACGAATTCTAGCTGTCCTGGCAGGTTCGATAATGGTATTGATACCAATCTTGCTATGGCATAACATGACTGTATGGCGAGAATATTTGACTAGTCATAACTTGAAAATCATGACATATATGTGATGAATGTCAGGATTTACATTTCATGGTCCTGCTGCTCTTGCGGTCCATGGTTTCGTTCACATTACATGTTGTAAAACTAGTATGGTATGACATCATTGCATGGCGAACACAAGCGACAGACCCTAACATGAAAATCATGTCATGCGTGTCATGTAACAACATGGCTGCCACACTCATGATGCCACACTCATGATGCCACACTCATAATGTCACACTCATGCCGCACTCATGATGCGCTCGCGGCCGTTTTGCTAGCTTTACATATGCCTAATTTGGTATTACGTGACGTCAATAGATGGCGAAGGTATATGTGCCTGGTGCAAACATGATAATCGTGAGGTGCGCGTCATGTGAGAAAATGACTACATGCAGCAGTCAAGGCGCCAATACATTTCGGCGTTCGTTTCATGTCGTCACGCCAGCGTTGGCACTGCAGGCGCCGGTTCTGCCATATACTTGCAGGCGCGCCGCCCAGCGTTGCTTCGACGCATGCGCGTTTCAGCGCGTTTCAGCGCGTCTGGCGTACCTCCGTCACGAAAAGAGGCAGACGCAGTGCTTTCTGGGCAACGCATCGGCGCGAAATGCAGCATGTCGCATTTCGCGCCGGTTGCCGTTGGGCCGCGCCGACGGACGCTGGTCGCGCCAGTTGCGCCTGCCGTCAGACTATACACCTATTGACAGGAGGGAAAAAACACCGCCATGACGGGCTGCGCGCGAGAGTACAAAGGTTAAGGGCGCAGCATTGTCAGGGCATTTTTGAGGGGTCATGCCAATTTGCGCAGCCCAAAGAGGACTTTGGCGGCGCCCAGGGAGGCGTTTTTGAAAAGGTCTATAGAGTGCTCGCGTTTTGCTAACGTGGCGTCGCTATAGCCAGCGTGCGCGCGCGTCAACGCTACATTGGAGTACATTGGGCCCTCCTTGATGCACTCGCGGCAATTTCGCTAGCTCCACATATACCAAACTTGGTGTTACGTGACGTCAATGGATGATGAAGTAGCTCCACATATACTAAATTTGGTATCACGTGACGTGAATAAATGACGAAGGTAGACACCACATCCAAACATGATAATCATGACATGGAAGTCTTGTACGGTATAATTTATCTCCACCTCGTAACGTTGAGCTGATTTTAAAGTGACATATCAACCTTCCTCATATGTGCTTCGCATATCTTTGATTTCTACTGTACGTGGCATCTAAAAATTTTTTTTAGTTTTTTTAATATTTTCCTCATTTAACTTTATTTTTGGTCATTTCTATAGTGACAGACTATGCAGTGCCCAGTTTATTGAACTTTATTATAAAATAGCCGAAAACAACGTATTCTTAGATCTGTTTCTGAAATCATTACATTGCCATCTGTCTACTGACCTCAGAAACTGAACAGTATTCGAACAGCTTACTCGTGTATAAATGTGCGTACAGCCCCGCCGTGGTGGTATAGTGGCTAAGGTACTCGGCTGCTGACCTGCAGGTCACGGGATTGAATCCCGGCTGCGGCGGCTGCATTTCCGATGGAGGCGGAAATGTTGTAGGCCCGTGTGCTAAAAATTTAGTTGCACGTTATATGGTCGTTAGGTAGTCGAAATCTCCGGAGTCCTCCACTATGGCGTCTCTCATAGTCATATGATGGTTTTGGGACGTTAAACCCCACATATCAATCAGATATAAATGTGCGTACATTCTCTGTCGACCATTCGGACACTCCTGCTCTATCGCATGACGTCAACACTCACCTATATTTATAATTGCGGTCATTCATGAAGTATTTGCTGAGAGCCTGAAAGTAGATTCTGCGTCTTATATTCCCAAGCCCAGAAATATTGGGACCACCGTTTCCATGAACTCATAAAGCACTGAGCGAACAGAAATGCTGAAGAAGTGTGTAAAGATGCGCAGGAAGCAAGCTTTCCCGGCATTCCTTGAATCTCAAGGAAAAAAAAAACGATCTGCTAAAGACGTGTGGGCACACGCTTTTTAAAAGCCCATCTAAATCCGGTCGTCTTAGGGACTTGTTTCCTCGCCGTTCTGGAGACGCAGTTCATTAGTGCCTCGTGGGACTCAAAAGAAGATCCCCTCTCCCCTTCTCCCTCTTTCTCGATCTGCTTAGTGCGCCTAGACTCCTTGAATGGACTCTGTGTACACGTGAGGCACTGAGGAACCTCGCGGTATTTTTCGCTTTCATCGCCTTCAGAAGACTCTTAACGGGAAAGGAGAGACCGTCTTGGCGCCAGTGCGGTGAATGTGCATTCGCTCTCGATTCTGCCGCAGCCACTTTATACCTTTCGTTCGTCCCGGTGTCTTTATTATTTTTCCCCATATTTTTTTTGCCTCCACTCATTTTTTTTTGTCGCATCGATTTTGTTGAAAGGAAGGTCGTAAAGGCAATTTCCCAGGAGGATGTGCTCGTGGGGCGGGGGCAAGTTTGTTTGCCGACACGTGGCAAAAGGAACAGCCGAGTTACGCGGGGCGGGAGTGGAAGCAAATATTCGGGCAAAAACTTTTCGATCGTGGCACCTCGCCTCTTTTTCTTTTCACAGATGTGCCAACCTTATATGGATGTTGCTGCCGTTATGAATTTTTGTGACGTTCTCGGCTTTCTTAAACTTTTATGCCCCGCCATACCTCGGTGATCTAATTTGCGAGTAACATGGTTTCACAGCACTGATGGGAGGTGGCATAACCTGACTAAAAAGGGTAGAAAAAATCATGTTGCCTTGCACTAAAAAGGACGATACAGAAGTGCTAGGGTCAACATAAGTTTGCTTACCTTCTATAAAGACTTCTCCGTGAACCGTTTTTTTTTTTTCAGAGACTTACGTACAATGCGAAATTGACTGTATCATCATAATAAGTTACCTTCCTCGAAAGATATACCATGAGGGTTAAAAAAAAGTTGCTATACTTCAAACAATCACTTGCACCAGCTATATTACTTTGAATGACTTTCTATTTATTGTTTCTTTTTCTGTTGGACACAATGGACAGGCTGAAGCGCCCTTGTTGCTTGTTACTGTGGGATAGTTTCCAAACAGATATATTCCATATTCGCACTGCATGCTTCTCACGAACTAGCGTGAGACCATGCTGTGTAGTCTTGACTATTTATCAATCTCTTTCTTACTTTTCTTTTTCTCTATCTTTTCTCTTTATAAAAATGCCCCTCTCCCCCACTTCAAGTGTAGTGTAGCCAAGGTAGCCAAAGCTTGGTTAACCTCCCTGCCTTTCCTCTCCCCTTCTATCTATCTCACTCATCAATGAACTCGAATTCGGGTGAATGAAGTTGGTCGGGTTATAAAACGAACGGTATAGCTTTCTGCATCACCCGAATAACAAAATATGAAGTGACACGGCTCAAGACCAGGGCAAACATATTAGGAGAAAACCCAGAGGGTCCATTATTCACTTGATCATGAAGTCTATAGAAGGCAAAAACCAACTAAGTCGATGTATTGTTCCACCTAACTTTTTCAATACACCCCTACACCAATACTCCTCGACTGTTTTTTATTTTGAAGACTTTCATAACATACCATCACTTTGCATTCGCTCAAAGATTGGAGGCATCGCAAGCGTTCTGCACCTCACCTTTTTATTGCATTGCCTCCATGATCGGCCCATCTTTAACACAGCGACGATTTGATGTGATGGCAAGTTTCGCTATGTGATATTACACATCTTATGCGGCTTGTGGCGTCATGATGGCATATGCAACGTCATTACGTGTTGATATCTTTCATCACTCGTGTCAATTTTATGCCAATCAATTTTCGCATTCAGTGAGGTATCAGACGGCATCAGACGTCCACAAGTGTATGACTTCCACCGACCAAGAGACTAAAGCCGTGTTCGTTGATGCGCTGTAATGTGAGAATCAATACCAACCATATAATACTCAGAGCAAGTTAGCAACTGTAGAAGCAGGGGGGTAAAGATTAAAACGTGTGAAAATGAGGACAAGAAGGACGTGCGTCGGCGCGTCCGATGGCGCGTGCGCAGTATTTCGGGACGGCAGAGGCCCGCATACTGCGCAGCGCCCGTAAATATCACTCTCATACTTAAAGGCATTGCCCGCGGGAGAAGAGAGAAAAAGGGAGAGAGAGAGCTCACAATCTATCGCCCACATATGTCAGGGCTTAAATTGGAGCCTCATAACGCTCTCCTCGATGCGACGACCCGCAGAGCTGCGCCAATAGCGTCGCTCCGAGCACCGTCTTTCCCTCAAGTGTATACCAGCTTATATTTCACGCCCAAACCGCATCTCACCAGGGACAGCGAAGGGGCTTGTACATCAGCGCCCCGTTTCCGATTTTATGAGGTTTTTTTTTTTATCTCGGACGTCAAGCAGCCGCAGCAAAAAAGAAGAGAAAGGAAAGTTTGTAGTTCGACCAGCGATATCCAGAAATGCCAGCCGCCCTTGTGACATATACGTCGTTTCTCTACACACTCAGCGCAAACCTCACTTTTGCAGCCTTTATTGTCTCGCGACGCTTCTTTTCTTCTAGCGAAGCACAGGATTAGTCGAGGCAGATAGACGACGGGAAGAACAGCGGGGCGCCAGCATGGGAGGTCAGTGCTTTACAACGGGCGGCACCGCGGAGCTCGACTGTTCGATGCCAAGTCGCCAGCACCGTGTGGCTCGGAGGCTGCCGGCTGGTCTCGTAAAAGTGTCATCGCGTGGCGAAGTCCGTGATTTAGCGCGGGCGCTCTATCGGTGATACCGCTTTCAAACGGCGCGCCGGTGAGATTGCGGCGTCGAACGAGCCCAGATGTTACGACCCGGCGGGGCCTCTTAGTTATCGCCGACGGTTACTCACAACCGCGTGCGGGTAGTACACCCACCTCGCCGTAACACATGCTGCTGTCCGAGATGGTGTTTTGTGGGTGGCGCTGTTCTCTTGGAGAAAACTTCCCTGCCGTTGAGCTTATCTGTACTCAACGCTTTAGGATAGACGGCAAGAAATATATTGGAGGGGATATCGCTGCCTCAAAATGTATACAGTAATACCGCATGCGTCTGTTTCGGTTGGAACAAGCAGTTCCACCCGTATGGTGACGAGCCGTGATGACATTTACGTCCCTGAACCTAAGCTTTATTCACGCCTGTGACTAGCACCAGTCGCGTCACCATTTGCTGCTGCGGATCAAAAGGCGACGTTACAAGACCGATGCTGACATGTGCGTGAGGCCCATAGCCATCGCCACAAAGAATTATCGTCGGCTTGCGTAGCGGTTGCCCTGCAATGTAACATCAGCCGACGTCATGTTTCTGCGCATCTGATAGTTCAAAAGTTTGCGGCTGTAGTTGTGCGACGGGAAAGTCATTTCAAGTTGTCACTTGGCGTCCAAAACCAAAGCTGAAGCCAAAGCTGTCGTTTTGGACCAAAGCGGTCATTTGCGACAATTTCCAACCAGTCACTGTGCGTCTAGCCTACAGTCATGCAACCACTTCTGGTCGCAGGTGTGAAAAGACCTTTTATATTGTGTGAAGACTTCATAACTGCGAGAATCACAAAATATTTCACACAGTTGAGCTTGCAGAGACTCCAGGCTTAAGTCAATCTTGTGGCCGATCTACAGCACCTGAGGAGACTGTACTTATGCATCTTGTGATTATCCGTCCTGGTTTTCATCAATAGCTTGAGCATGAAACACTGGAATTATATCTATTTGAGCATGAAGCATTGAAATTATATCTACAGCGTCAAACTATATCTGTCTCACCACGTGCGTGGGGGCAAAATTCACTTTCCCTTTTTTCTCTTGTACATATTGGGCAAAAAAGCCACCCGTAATTTTTTATATCCTGCCACGCCGCGTATTGTATTTCTCACAACCATTCTTCCACGGGGTACCTTACAACAGCGACGCGCTCAAAGCACTGCTATTTTATATTTTATGCTTCCGTGCTTTTTTAATCTTGCACAGAATGCTACTCCGAAGTTAATGTATAATAATATACGGTTGAACAGCATCATCACAATTATTAATTGGTTACACAAAGATCGCATTCGACGGGAACCACCGTTCACCTACGTGATTTCTCCATCACGAACTACTGCGATCTTTTTGTGATATGGAATGTAACCTATTTTTGGTAATAGGTAAATTGACCTTTGGACTGATAACAAGAAAGCAGAATCATGCAGTAACGGTGTAAAGAGAGGTCAAGATGGATATTGTTGAAATGTCGAAAACTGTGGTTCTTTGCCCAAATACATGACATTCCAATTTCTATTATTAAGATCGGTTTCAGAACCGTAACAGCAGAATTGTCTGGGTAACGTACATGCACTTATATTCGCAGTAACGAAACGCCCATTTGTAAGAAGTGAACCAATAAAATGGTAGAACAAAACAACCGGTTCGTCAGAAAATTTGATCGTACCGGTAACTACATTTTTCATGGAAATATACTTGTGCTAATAAATGAGAGTACTGAAACTGGGGCAGTTCTTTTTTTAGGGGCCAAGCTCCTTAAAGCGGCATCCGTTCATCCCTCGTCGTAGTCGTAGTGTGTAACCAGTCTTACGCTTTGTCCTGCAAGGTGGTGTCGGTGGGAGATTTCTCCTGTGTGTTGTTGAACAATAAAACAATCGCAGCATGCGCGTTTACTAAAAACCGAATTCTCCTGTCTCTCATTCCCCCTCAGCAGCCATTGGCATGTACATTGAGCACTATCTGAGAAGAAAGGGTTGCTAAGTTATACTCGCTGGGTGTAACCTCCTTGGTTTTAGAAATGTTTAGCGAGCGTTGGGCCGCAGGGCCATGAATACAGTGAACTAGTATATACCATGAACTCGAGGTGGTTAAAGGTGGGAAGTAGACACGAAGCGCAAGCCATAAGAAAGTGTGCGTGTGCCACCTCTCGTTTAGTCCTTGGAATGTCCGCTGGATGGCGGTGCTTCTGTATGCGGAATATATGATGAAAAGATGCGAGATGGTGGTACTTGGATTGTTGACTAGATGGACGAATGGACACACAGACAGATGCATTGATGGACGCATGGATGGCAGTATGGACGGATGGACGCATGGATGGACGCAGGGGTGGATGCATGGACGAACGCAGAGACGGACGCACGAACAGACGCACGCACGGACGGGCGGATGGACGCACGGCCGGTCACACAGACGCACGCATGGACGGATGGAAGCAATAACAAATGGACGGACGGATGCTTCGCCCCAATCTCCATCATTCAGCCCGTTTATATGCTGCCAATTTTTTCTATGTTCAGCCTGCGTTCTGTTGTATTGTGCGGCTGTGGCGGCTGCATTTCCAATGGAGGCGGAAATGTTGTAGGCCCGTGTGCTCAGATTTGGGCGCACGTTAAAGAACCCCAGGTGGTCGAAATTTCCGGAGTCCTCCACTACGGCGTCTCTCATAATCATATGGTGGTTTTGGGACGTTAAACCCCACAAATCAATCAATCAATCAATTCTGTTGTATTGAGATTGTAAAATATGCTTTCTTTCTTTTTATTTCACTTCTTATAAATATTTAAAAAAACGCACATTTCCCAGAGTCGCACAATAAATAGTAATGCTGAATACTGCAGAAATACTTTAAATGTGGACGAATTGTGCGGTACATTGAATCTATCATGTCCGAACGAGTATGTTTAGAGTACTTGTTTCTTTTTCAGTACATTTATATTTTTTTCTTTAGGTGGAGCGGGGTTCTTACACAAATGCGTTATTCCAAAAAAAAATAAAGTTCTGCTTTGCTCTTCTTTTGCAGCTTTAAACCAATGTATTTTTAGATATATTTCCAACTTAAGTCTTTACATTCACGAACAATCACGAACAATCATCGGACAGCGTCTGCTTTGAATAAAAGATGCTCTGTTGTCTCGAGGCAGACGGAGGAAACAAAGCTCATTTTCAGCACAAGATCATGAAGCATGCACAATTTTACGTGTTGTCGTTTTTTTCTTCCAAACGAGAATGAAGAACCTCGAGATTATTCCACTTTCTTTTTTCCTTTCCTTTCTTTCTTTCTTTCCTTCTATCTTTCTTTCTTTCTAACACATTCTCGAGGTGACTGAGCTTCCACTTTGTGTCCTTTTCCACTGATTCTGTTTCAGACTGTAGCAGTTTGTACACGTTCGTTGGCTGTATTTTTGTTTTATCGCTTATTACCTTATACCTGTCCACTTCTAGGGAAGCCTTGCCTTTCTATGCTGCTTTTAGGTGCTAGCAAAAACTCTATGACCGGTGCCATATGACTGGTAAAAAGGTGACCAGGATTCCCCTGAAATCCGAAACAAATGAGCATTTGATGGTCTAGTGAAGAAAATGCTCAACAACTCTGTGAAGAAAATGCTCAATAAAACTGAAACTGAAACTGAAACTGAAACTAGTCGGCCGGATAGTTTGGTTGTAGTCAAGATATAGAGGGGGGGTAGGGGCAGAATATGCGGCCCTGCATTCTTAACAAAGAGCCAAGGCTTCAAACACGCATAAACCTTCTGCAATTTTTTTTCCGAGGAAAGCGTGCCCGGAGATATTCAAACACTGTGAAGATACGAAAACACTGCAACACACAACACACAACAAATACAAATGACAGCTGATAAAACAACAATTTAGGAAAATCGAGAAGGGTTGCGGCTGCTATACGTAAGCGCTGCAAACCGGAAGTACAAAAGTGCAGAGAAAATTTCTCGTGAAGACCACCGTCTCCAGGCAGGTGCACCCGTAGCGCTTCTTTTTGCGCCGAGTTAGCCAGCTGCCTCTTGAAGGATTGTAAAGAATCGCCTGAGCAAAGGAACGACTGGGGGGATGAGCGGAGAGAAGGCGAGAAAAGTGGGCTAGTGGACGTGAAGCGTTTTCCCTATTTCCTCTCGGCGTATATCGCGCGTGCGCCCTGATTTCGCTTGTGTCTGGCGCAAGGAAATCCCACGCTGTCTCCGCTGGGCGAAAAAGGAACGCTTCGAAAAGATTGTCTTTCTAAGCAGATAGCTCAACCTGGAAGAACTCTGTGTAAAAGAAAGAAAGAAATAGCAAAGACAGACAGCGCAAGCCTTGATGTATGTGAGTGTTTGGTGCATCTCAGCCATTCAGCAAGGAAACAAAGGCAACCATATATTCAAAGTTTTTGAGGATAGCCGCTGCTGAGAAAACGAGCCAAACGATGCCTCTAAATCTCTCTCATGCTCCGGAATGCGTTCTCTCAAAATACCATGAAATAGCGATCGCGAAAAGGAGACAGGAGGAACGTCGACTAAAGTATTGCGAAGTAGCCGACTTCATGGGCACACGTTGATTTGGGGGGAAATAAATGGACGCTGACTATCTCTAACAGGCAGGCTCGGAGATATAGCAGCAAGCCTATGCACACATAAAAAAGTTACAACGATGCATGTTGGCCATTTCTAAAACCGGTGTTGTTTGAAGCTACATTCACACTTATATTTCTGCCCATTCGCAAAATATCTGCAATTCCACGGACTACTGAAGCATGTTGGGATGCTTTTTAAACAATCTTGGTGCTCATTTTGCCTTTTCAGAGTAAAATTTCAATCGCGATTCAGTTCGAACGAAGCAATTTAGTGGCACATTTT